CATTTAAACAAGCCTGTGTAATACTGGGAGCATATAGTCAATATAGAGACATTCTTGATAAAAATCTTCTTCCATCTACCAGGATGATGAAGATGAAACGTGGCTGGACATTTCAGCAAGACAATGAGCCCAAACACAAAGCCAAGGAAACTCTCAACTGGTTTCAGAGAAAGAAAATAAAGCTGCTGGAATGGCTACAGTGAAAATAAGACAGCTTCTATCCAAGAAAAAGCACAAGACATCTGACATGGACATACAGTGGACACAACATGATTAAAAAGTGACCAGGTGCTCATAAAACTCAACTATATAAGATTCAAAGATAAAAACAAGATAAAATCAAATAGAACTACATAAGACAAAAAGAATAAAATGACTAACTAATGTCATGTGTTTTGTGTTAACTTGAGTTTAAAAAGCTAATTGCAACAGGAACAAAGCTGATTTTAAAACGCTTAGTTTTACATTTTAGCACGAAGTATCTACGTCCTGATGGGAGGAGGCTGAACTCGCCGTGCAGAGGATGAGACACGTCTTCCAAAATGGACCCAGACAATCTCTGGACCTGCTTAGAGTACAGAGATTCTGGATTTAATTGCATCTTTCCAGTCAGTTTGCTGGACCACTTCACTATTTGGTTCAGGGAGTTCTTATTTTTAAGAGAAAGGTGACCAAACCAGGACATGGTAGTTTGTACCATGACTGTTGAGGTGAAGAACAGGTATTACACAGGTACCTGATTTGGGCTTGTGAGCTTTGGAACGATGAATAAAGGCATCTTCAAAGTTTAATATAAAGTTCATGAAAAGTTAAAGAGAAAGACATTTGAACTGGAGGTTCAAATTAAAGCTTGTACACAGTCAGGAGTCTGTCTCTGTAAGTAAAGATCTCTCTGATCCAGTTGAGTCTCACCTGAATGAGAATGAAATATGCTCGCAGGTCATCTTTCGTCCGAGGCCTGAAACAAAAAACAAACATAGTTTTAAGCTTATCCATTTACTGTAGTGCTCAGAAACCAAAGTGAGTTTTTGTGCAAACGAATAACATTCAGAAAACAAGTCAGTGAAGTTAAATGGGTTTCGAATTTTAGGCTTCACTTTATGTGCTTTGAGTCTAGTTAGCTTCTGTTAGAAATGTTACTTTTAGTTAAAAAAAGAAACGTGAAGAACGGAGGGTGTGTCTGAGATGTTTTCTCACCCTTTCCACTCCCTCAGCAGGCTGTTGATGATCCCTTTCAGAACAGATTTCTGGATGTCCTGAGGCTAAAACACACAGCAAAAATAAAAACTTTTTTTTTTTTGTTTCGTTTTACAGACCACATAAAAAAGTTAAAAAGACCTAGTGACAGGCATTTAAAACATGTTTATGTTTTAGGTTTTTTTTCTCACTCACTGTGCTGAGCAGTGCATCGTAAACAGTGTTGACAAACTTGGCATTGACTCCTGAGTCCTCTGTCGTGTTAAACAATCCATTTGCCTCTCGCTGGAAACATAAAAATAGTGTTCAAACATAAAAAAATACAAGTTAAAATTTGTCAGGAAAAAAATCAAGCATAAGAATTATTTTCTCTAAGTGTGAGTCACCTTAAAGGCAGCGTTGATTTCTATGAAAGAGTCAAAGGTGGTCAGATAAAACTCTCGGACCTCCCTCCAGTCACCTGATTGAACAGCACGTTCCATGTCCTCCCTGTCAAAAAATAAATAAATCACAAATGTTTTCATGAGTTTTCAGCTTTCAAATGTCCAGAACTGTAGACTTTTTAACTTTAATTGATTGAGAACTCACTGAAACTCTTTGGTAGTCTTGGTGCGGAGCGGGATAATAGGGTCAGAGGGGAAAGGAGCCTTGACTTCTGGAGGCAGAGTGTCGATGGAAAAACGCTGCTTCTGACGGACATCCATGCAGATGGGAGGCAACTCTCTCCCTTGTGACAGACAGAAGAGAAATAGCTTCTTCAGACAGAAACAAGACAGTTTCAAGCACTGACTGTGGTATACACAGTATTTTTGTGTGTAAGAAGCACTGAAGTAGAGGAAAAAAATAATGGAATCACTCAGGATCATAATTAATACTTTGTTACAACACCTCTGGCTTTTATAGTAGCTTGAATTCCCTGAGGTAGGGGCCTAACTAATGACAAACAGTACTCTTCATCAGTCTGGCTCCAACTGTCTCTGACTGCTGTTACAAGATCATCTTTGCAGGTTGGAGCTTTGTTTTTAACTACTTTCTTCATTTTTCACTAGAGATCTTCAAATGGACAGCGATCCAGATTATTTGCTGGCCATGCTATTGGGATTGCATGTCTTTATTGAAGGGTTGCCTAATGGCAAGATGTATTATCTTGAAAATTGAAGTCATCATCACCAAACAGTGACCTCTATCTCCCCATCTCTTACCCTGAAATGATATTTTTTTATCCAGTCAGCCTTAAGCCTACTTCACTCTCTCTCTGAACTGTGGATGTCGGCAGGGATTGTCGGCAGTGTCCTGACGTAAATTACGTCACCGGTGTTCTCAGCGTCGACTCAGCCGCCCCTTTTGGCACAACCCGCTGGCAGAATTTTTGATCTTTTCTCTGTCAATAACGGCTTTTGTTTGACATTTCTGTGTGAAGATCTCATTTTTAGCCAATGTTTTACAGTTCAGTAACAGACATCGACACCATTTTCTGCCCAATTCTTTCTTAATTGTTTTGTTGTGCATTTTCTATTTTCAAGACACACTGCTTTAAATTTTCTATCTAGATGCTTTGATGTCTTCCTCGGTCTGCCAGTATGCTTTCCTTTTACAGCTATTCTATTTTGTTTGTACTTGGTCCAGATTTTAAACACAGCTGACTGAGAACAGAAAACATATTTTGCAACATTTTCCTGATGATTTACTTTTTTGAAGATGTTTCTTAATCTCTCTCCTTTGTTTCGACTGATATTCTCTTGTTGGAGTCATGATTCTTGTAATTCTGCTTTGTGCAACAAACTCTCCAAGGTATAAGCATCTTTTTTAGCTTAAGACTAATTAGTAGGTTTGATCTGATGCAGGTGTTGGTTTTAGAGAAGCAAATTACAGAGCAAGTCTGCATTTTTTTCTCCTCAGAATTAAGTGGTTTCATAATTTAAAAACCATTTACTTTCTTTGTTTGTCCTCACAAGAAATCTCACATAATTCTTAGGCTGAAGAAAAAAGTAAAAAAACAAAAAGAAAAACATTTTGGATGACTTTGTTGCATCGTAAATTTGAACAACTGGAGTGGGAATAGCTGAACACTGTTTATGTTCCGTAAAACTAATGAAATATACAGAAATGTAACAGCCAATGTTCTTAAAATGATGCAAGGATTTCTCTTTTTTAATGAAAGCATGCCAAATTTTCAGAAATACTGTATTTAGAAAAATAAATCAACAAAGGGAGAGGAGAGTATGTCTTTTCAAATGGTTTAAGACAGATTTTGAGCCGTTCGATTGCAAGTGGATAACATAGGTTCCCTCGGACCACCTTTGGAAGGGGTCTGGACTACTGTTATCTGCATAGTCATTCAGCAGTTACACAATCTGTACTGATTCTTGATGAAGGATATCCTAATGGACTGAAGTAATCCCACTAGGAGCAGAGTGGAAATCTCAAATAAAAAAAGAAAAAAATGTCCACTCAACTGTTGGCTGAATAAAGACAATTCAACAGGAAAAAAAAGAACAAAGATATGGTTTTCTAGATGAACTGTTTATCAAATTCTTTCTCAATACGAATGCTTGTTTTGTTAAGATTTTAATGACCAAAGTAGATTACAAGATGCCATATGTGTGACTCTTACTTTGGTTTAACGTTTCTTGGTTGTTTTTGGACCTGCTGTGGTCACTGAATGCTTTAAGATGCTGTGTCAATCAAAATACGGTAGTCTGAACAGCATTAGGTTGCATTATAATCACCAAATTAAATACAGAGCTGACTACACTCACAGTGAAGCAGTGCAAAGAATAGCTAAAACTTGTTAGCATACTTTGGATTTTTATAGGTAAAAATCTTTAGTCTTCCCTGACACTGAATGAATTTTGTGTATTTTTATTTTTATTATGAGTCTGCTACATAAGAAGTCCCTAACCCTGGTCCTCATGGCCCACTGTCCTGCATGTTTTAGCTGTTTCCATACTTCAGCACTGCTAATTGAAAAAGTTAAATTACCTACACAGAATGTTATCAAGTTTAGCAGAAGCCTGTGAATGACTCATTCATTTCAGTCAGGTGTATTATCTAAACTTGTGGTTCCCAGAGTTTAGGTTTCAGGTCCCAAAATATCAAGGTGGGGTCTAGAAAATATTTTAAAAATTAAATAAGTAAGTTACAAATTTTACATTAAAATGGATGAAATTAACATAATGAATACTGTTACTATGCATTAGTTTATTTGACCTGATACCAGAGTTTATCACCCAAAAGTAGTTGGTGGCACAGGTCTCTGCTACTCTTATTTTATGGGTCAAACAATGAAAAGTTTGTAAATCATTGGTCTAAAATAAGGATGTTCAAAGTATATGACCGTAAGCCCTCCTGAGGGAGCAAACAAACTCCCTCCCCCAAAAAACTGAACATTAAGTATAGCAAAAACAAAAATAACAAAAATAATTGCAATGCCATCTTTATTTTTTACTTAATGTTCTGTTCATACTTTAAAAATTGTTGTGCACATTTTAATTTTTTTGTTTTAAACATTTTAAACATCTGTGCTTTTAAAAATCATTTAACACATTTATAACCATGTGAATGTGAAAGCTATAACAAAGTTTAAATGTTTCAATACACTGTATTTTTTTACAGAAACAACAGACCTGCTGATGCCCTGTTGACTGCTCACTGATGTGTTCATATGATGTGACTGACTATCTGCATACAGAGCAGGTGATTTGATCATAAAATGTTTGGGGGTTCACAGTCTACCACCATGTTGAGAGAGCAATCAATTTCTCCAAAACAGATTTGTAACAACAAATCTAAACAACCTCAAATAGTCAGTGCAGACACACACAAATAGATGTTATTAACCTCAACCAGTGTGTAATCACAAAGGTCAGTCTGCATGAGGTGACTACAGTTCCTCACAATACACAGCCATCTTTCCTCCAAATGGCCTTTTATTGTTTCTGTGACCACAGTAACAATTGTCACCCGAAGACCTGACCAAGTGCCTTGTGGGAGCTCATTCTGTGAGCTCAGACAGAAGCAGAAGACAAGAAAGAGCACAGATGCAGACAGATGGATAAATTATGTCATGAACAGATGTTACATACCTGTCAGCAGAGAACAGCTGGACTATTGGTCACAGCATTGTTCAAGTCAGAACATGCTCCTCTGAGAGAAAAACAAAGTTCTGTCGGAGGTCGGACTTGAAGACCCTTCTGACAGAATCTTGTGCCAGGAGTTCCCAGCAAACAATAACTACACATTTGGGTCCATTGGGTCTGTCCAGCATCAATCCATGCCACCTGATCCAGTTCACCACCCGGTGGTGATCCGTTGACAGCTTAATTCCTCTCTTCATCCAAATGTCCAAAACATACATTCACAGATCAAATGACATGACTACATAGTCTATCATCAATCTGCAGCCATCCTGGTGCCATGAGCACTTTTAGACATCCCTGTGAAGAAACATAGTACTTGTGTTTGACAAACTCTGGCTAGCAGAGGTGGCCAACAACAAAACACCCCTCAAGATCAGATCAAGAAGGCCGTTACTCCAAATCATGCCAGTCCAGGTTACACATAGTTTACGTGGGCACTGAAATCCCCCAACAGAATAATGGATTTCCCAGCTGGAATATCGTCCAGCACCCTTGCCAAGGACTTGAAGAAGGCTGGGTATTCCAAACATTTAGGCACAAACAATAGTCGGAGCCCATGCCCCAACCCAAAGGACCAGAGGAGATGCCCACTCATCTACCAGGGAACCAGGGAAAACTCCAAGGCTTCAAACCCAGGGGCTAAAGGTAGGCCCACACCAGCCTGGCACCTCTCACCATAAGCAAATTCAGAATGGAATAAGGTCCATACCCCCTCAAGAAGACTGGTTCAAAAGTCCAAGCCACATCAAGGTATGCCCAGCTATTGCTAGTCAGTACTTCTCAACCTCAAACACAAGCTCAGGCCCCTTTCCCACCAGACAAGGTGACATTCCATGTACTAAAAGCCAGCTTCAATAAGCCTTAGTCAGAGCATTAAGACCCCCATATTTGGCTGCCACCCATGGCACAATGCACCCGATTTGTATGGCCCCTCCTGCAGGTGTTGGATCCACAGGAAGGCAAACCCATGTCACTCATTCGGGCTGAATCTGAATAGGCTCTACAAATACAGGTCCAGTCAATAGTCGCTCACTGACTAGCCCCTCTTCTAGGCCTGGCTCCAGGGTGTGGCTCTGGTAACCCACATCCGAGAGAGAAACATTGACCTCCTTGATGTCTTCTTTCCATACAAATTTTGTGAAATGCTCTTTGTCTGGACAATCACATGTAACCAAGCTACCTCAGGAGAACCTACCAGAGGGAAACGCCCCAGACAGTGTAGTTTCTTAGATCATTCAGGCTCAGGCACACAAACTCTGCCACCACCATAAGGTGGTGATTCACAGAGTAGTCTGGGGAGAGGATGTCCCAACAAGTTTACCCCAAGGTCAGACTGTACAATATTCAGAGAAATGACAAATAAGAATCAACAACATCTGTACAAAACTTCAAAGGCCTCAATTAGCAGATTTAAGGGTAAAGTTCATGGCTCTGATTGATTTGTTTCTCACATACACATCCTGTGTTGTCCATCGGCGTGTCTTTGTGCTTCTTTTAAATCATATTCCAACTCTCTTCCTAGCACAGCAGTTGCACACACACACACACACACACACACACACACACACNCACACACACACACACACACACACACACACACACACACACACACACACACACACACACACACACACAATGATAGAGTCTGTGAAGGTTTAGTGATGAGGTCTTAAGGGTGGAGGTTTAGTCCTGACAGCAGAAAACCTTGTTGTCATGACAGCTTTTAATCAGAAGAGTCACTTCTAAGGCCCTTGAGGGTGATCCTGCTCCTCCTCTGTTTTTAATTTTTTTTCTACTAGCAAAGGCTTTGATCATTTCTGACAAGGAAGAGGGCTTCATCTTCCAAATTAATCCCTGCTTTTGTTCCCTGTGGAGTTTAAACAATGTGTTTAGAACAGCAAACTCTTGATTTTTGAATAATATAAACTCAACAATTTAAATGAATATGGACTAACATGGATAACATAGATAAATGCATTTGATGTAGGCTCAGTGGTTAACACCAATGCCTCACAGCAAGAAGGTCCTGTGTTTGATCCCCAGTGTTAGCAAAATAAATTTCAAAACAGTAAATAAAAATTAATAAAACAATCAAAAATTAACCACTGGATGTACATCTATAACATTTTAGCTTAATTCAATTCTAGATGGCTACCACAGTTAATACGTCTGGGAAACAAACAGTTATTGATATAACTATCAATTTTATAGATAATTAAAAATATTGAGGTGGTAGTATATAAGAGACACATCACATGTTTTGAGAGCTGCACATTCTGCAACATCATTGCTGAAATGTTTGGTTTTAAGTGGACTCTATTTTCCCCGGATGTAAGTGAGAGTGTGAATGAATGAATGTTTGTCTTGTCTGTCTCTAAAGGCTGCAGCACGCTGCATCCAAACTGCCAAAATCGGGCCGAACTGTGGCAGTTTCATGATTAAAATTGTGTCTCTCTGTTTGCATTGTCTACATTTTGGAAAGTTCTTGTCGCAACCCGCGGGTCGGACTTTTTACCCCCTCCATGTAAGAACACATAAGAACTTTACTGTGTGATTGGCCAGAAGTTCATTCAAGGATTCAAGGATATTTATTTGTCATTCCCTCAAACACAAACATCAGATGTTCATGAAAGGTAACGAAACTGGTTGCACAGGTCCCGGTGTTCAGTGTGAACGATAAAGTGAAAAATAGTATTGAAATTGAAATATTGACATAAACAAGCATCGACATGGGAGTGTTTGTTTTTTTGAAGTGAGTGGTTGAAGCAAAATGCAGCATCTGAGCGCTTTCAGCACAAACATAAAAATGACTCGTCTCCAGAAGCTGACTGTTGTACCAGGAAGTAGCGGTTTATAAAGATAGTGAAACGGCCAAAAACAGACGTTGTGCATGGTGGAATCTGACTGATAAAAACTTTGCAGCTTAATCCAGAACCAGTTTGTGGATATACAACTTCGGGTGACAAGTCTCTGACTTTTTTTTTCCACATTGTAGATTCCAGCAGGAAGAAACCCCCTGTAGTGTCACATGCTGCAGCGGGAGGGGTTTCCCAGGAGCTCGGCGCGGTGTGTCTCAGGGGCTATGAAAGGTGTGTGTGAAAACGAACGCCAAACAACCACATGGCGCGTTGTCCAGTCAGCTGCTGAGTGACCATCCTGCAGGCTTGAGTGGTCATGTGATTGACTTGCAACTTGTCCAGGGAGGACCCTGCCTACACACAGTGACAGCTGGACGAGGGCACCAGCGAACAAGCAGTTATGTATGTATGTACTGTATGTATGTATGTATGTATGTATGTATGTATGTATGTATGTATGTATGTATGTATGTATGTATGTANGTATGTATGTATGTATGGATGGATGGATGGATGGATGGATGGATGGATGGATGGATGGATGGATGGATGGATGGATGGATGGATGGATGGATTTCTCAACATAAGATGAGCTTTGCCTAAAACTGCCATTATGGGTCATGGGCGATACACCTGGAATGGCTGGCTTTAATTTTATTCTGTTTTTTTAGTAAAACAGCCAAACCAGTTTGAATGTTTGACTATAAGAGTCTGTAAATCAGTCTGAGTCTGAAGCTGCTCAGATAAAAGTTATATAAATGCAATGTTCTCTAGCAGAGAGTCCACCAAATGTAAATCTTTTGTCTGTGCTGTGATTCTATACATGTGGTAGTCATTCAGAAAGGTTAGAAATGATTGAATATCTTTGTTTTCTCAGTCGATGGCCTCTTGCAAAAACTAAGTTGTGCAATTTTGGATTTAAGATTGTTTAAAAGAAAGAAAAAAACAGCAAAAGCAACATTTAAGTATAATGATGTAATAGTATTAAACAAAAAGAGTAAAAAAAAGATTGATCCATGCATGAGTTTTCAGTAATCTGGTTTCCTCTCACACATATACTGTACATGTTAGGTTAATAAACAACTCTAAATCTGTCATGTGTAAGTGAACGTGTGAATGCTTGTTGGTCTTGTTTATCTCTTTGTGGACCTGTCCAGGGTGTCCCCACTTCTTCTGACTCCTGGAGCTGTGCTCCAGATCGTCTTTGAAAAGAGTAAGTGGGTGAAGGAAAAGAGTAATTTTATGCAACTGATTTCCATCCTGTAGGAGGCCTTTATATCAGCTGCACTGGAGCGAGTGTGTTTACATGTTGGTAAAACAGAAGTGTCTAGTTCTGACCCTGAAACGAAACTCAAGACAAATATCTGACTAGCTCAGCCTCCAATCACAAAACCAAATGTGATCAAATTAAAACTTCCTGTAAACTGTGATTATCTGGCAGATGTAACAATTGTAAAAGGTTGAACAAATGTGCAGCGTGCTGTGTGTGTTCAAATGTTTTCCCTTTCATACGGTTTTCATTTGGGGCTGAGGTTTACATAATTATTCTGGCATCAGAAGCTGTGGTGACAACGCTGGCTGATGAGCACTTTGCAGGGCCTCCGCTCTCATGGCAGACAAAAATATCCGTCCCTTTTACAAGAAGCAACATCATCCTTAAACCAAAATATTCTCAGTGATACATCAAGAACTTTGTCTCTCAATTTTGCTTCATGACAAGTATTTATGAAAAAACTTTTTTTTCCTGAAAATCCAATTGCATCACTGTCTCTTGCAGCTCAGCTCAAGCAGAGACTGAGGTTGAGAGTACACATCAAGCATGCTATAAACACAGGAAGTAACACATCATTACATCCCAGACGAAACGCAGATCAGATCATCTCAGAGAGAACAAAACTGGACCGTGAAAATATTCAGACCCAAGTATTTACAGCTTACGGAGACCACGAGGGAACATGTTTTTTTTTTTATTTTGCGTTCCCAGGCAATACTATTGCATTACCTTGAAATACTTTTGCGTTACCTCGCAATATCTTTGCGTTACCTCGCAATATCTTTGTGTTACCTCGCAATACTGTATATTTTTGTGTTACCTCGCAAACGTTTGCATTCCCTCACAAAATTGTTTTGCGTTCGCACGCAAAAGTTTGATTTGTATATTAACTGAATCAAAGCAGATTTTATTTTAAAATATCTAGTTACCAAAACAGTCAGAGAGCAATACCTGTTATTCAACCTGGATGTTTTGTTCTAAGCTGCTTCTGTTCAAAGCCGTTTCTGTCATTGTTTCATGTATATAGAAACAAATCTGTTGAAGCAAATGTGGAATTTACAAATAAACCTATATATATTTATTTGCCCCGCCCATTTTTCTAAGGTCTGGCTGAAAAACAATTTCTGGCTATGCAACTAATTTGTATGTGTATATAATTCTTCAGTTCTGATACAAAAAACAATACTTTTCTGAAAATACTGAATTTGGTGAAATCCTAAAGGTCAAACAATTATAAAACTCACCGTGTCTGAGCCCTGCAGTGTTGGTCAGGGCGCCACCAGTGAAGCCCCGCCCCGCCACATCCCTCCTCTGGCTCAGTGTGGAGATGAAGGTGCCCAGAGATGGGAACGGCTGCTTGGTCCCTCGTCCCAAAACCTGCCACATATAAGAAAACCGCCAAAAAATAAAAATTAAGCGGTTAAAGTTCTTTTATTGTAAGATAAAAATTTAAACCATTTGCATCAACAAAAGAAAACCAACAAACATAATAAATGTATACAAAAACAAAAGGACAGAGCTTTAAAAATATAACTTTTCACTTATCAATGCACCATTTAGAAAAAATAATTTAAATCTAGTTGGGATAAAATACCATTTCTTATACATCAATCTTAAAACTGACATAAAGGCATCAAGTGACATTTGTTGAAGGAACACATATCACCTACCACCTTTCATGCCAGGGTTTTACAATATCATCATGATTTTATTATAACACCAACGTAAGCAGCTTTAATTGAAAAGTAATAAAAATATGAACAATGAACACACACAACTGAAATATCTTGCATGATGTCTCAGCTCTCAGAGGGTTATGAATCTACACCTATATCACATCAAACTTTAGCTCGGTATATGTAGAACTGATGATGATTTAGCCATTTCTGTGTTGGCTAAAGTAAAGTTAATCAGCTGTAGATCTACAGTACATCCAATAATTACTTTCTGAGGGTTTCATTGAAACAATGTGATATTTTGCTAACAGACACACAAAGAAATAGGCAAAACAAAATCACAGCAATAACTAAAAACCAAGCAGCAGACATCTCAGAATTTCTAAATGCACTAATAAAGTCAGCAAACTCAGTCTCTGCATTCTCAGATGTTGAGGTTTTTACCAGATATAAATCCAGACTCTCAGCTGCATGAACAGACAATGACAACATAAACAAATCTAAACACAATCCTGAAATTCACTGGATGTTCTCCATGAATAATCAGCCTCGGTTTCTGTTACTTCAGATGAGCTGTATGTCCCCATGAGCTACAAGTAGGCAAGAAAAGGACGGACTGATGGGAGGAGAGGAGAAGTTTACAGAAATTATAGGATATAAAAGGAGAGAGGGAATGAAGATGGGTGGGGCAGGGAAAGGAATATTGCGGCAGGATAAGATGAAAGAGTGCAGAAAGACAGGGATATGAGACAAAAGATTTTAATGTTGATAAGAAGAAACACTTAATTCAGAGCAGGAACAGAGGATCTAGGGAAGAAAACTGGACATGGTGGAAGGCATGGAAATGAAAGAACATGTGGAGAGAGAGAAGTAGAAGGAAAAGGAAGTTCGGAGCCCAACAGATGCACAGCAGCCACTCCTCGCCGCCAGATTCACACATGAGCAGACAACATAAAAACCAGTGGAGCCAAGTATGGGCGTTGAACCAAAATTATCAAGACAATCAAAATGAATCCCTCTTATTGGAAATAAAGATGTCTGAATCAAAAGAGAAAAAGATTATCACTTACACAAGACAACACCAAGCCTGCAACTTACCGAACTAAAAACTAAACCTTGGACAAATAGCTGATGTCTGACAATTATAATCCACACTGAATTTATGAAATGCTTGACCATAAATGCTCTATCAATGCTCTGATAGTCACAAACGGTAATGTTGATGTGCCTGCAGTGTTTCATGTTGGAGATGTGACAAGTTAAAAAAGGTACTTCAGTCAAGGTTTTGAAGAGAATATTTCAATCTCAGTTAAGATTGTGGGTGCACTCCACACGCTGGAATTTGAGAAAAAAACTATGTCAATAAAAATCCTTTAATTCACACCAATAAACAAGCAAATGGCCTGCATTTAAAGTGCAGTGGTGTCCAAAGTCAGTCCTCAAGGGTCGGTGTCCTGCATGTTTTAGGCGCTGCTCTGGTTCAACACAGTGGAAATTAAGTAGCGCTTAATTAGTAGGCTTCCTCAGTATGCCATCATGGTCTGCAGAGGCCTGCTAATTAGGCACTCCTTAGCTTCAGCTGTGTTGAACCAGGGCAGCTCCTAAAACATGCAGGACACCGACCCTTGAGGACTGACTTTGGACACCACTGTTATAGTGCTTTATCAAGTCCAAGCATTCAAAGTGCTTTATACTACAGTCATTCACCCATTCACACACATTTCCACACTGATGGAGGTAAGCTACATTGTAGCCACAGCTGCCCTTGGGCACACTGACAAAGGCAAGGCTTCCATACACCTGGTGCCTCTGACCACTGCAGGCAAGGCAGGTGAAGTGTCTTGCCCAAGAACACAATAGCTGAGACGGATGGAGCAGGGGACACATGCTAAGCAACACAGACATACGTATGCTGTAACAACACAGATAGCTGCATACAGTGTTTTTTACGTTAGTCACACTTAAAGGTTTCAGATCACCAAACAAATTTAAATATCCTCTCAAGATAACACAAGTAAACACAAAATGCAGTTTATAAATGAATATCTTTAATATTAAGAGAAAAACTGTTCTAAATCTACAGGGCCCTGTGTGGACAAGTAAATGTCCCCCTGTGGTTCATAAACTCTTTGGAAAATTGAGTTTAATGATTTCCCTAGCTACACCCAGGCCTGATTACTGCCACACCTGTTTTCTATCAAAAAATAATTTAAATAGGATCTGCCTGACAAAGTAGATCAAAAGATCCAGAAAAGCTAGACATCATGCTGAAATCCAAAAAAACTCAGGAACAAATGAGAAGCAAAGTAATTCAGATCCATCAGTCTGGGAAAGGTGATAAATCCATTTCCAAAGCTTTGGGACCCCATTGAACCACAGTGAGAGCCATTGTACTCAAATGGCGAAAGCATGGAACATTAGTGAACCTTCCCAGGAGTGGAGAGGCCGGCCATTTACTAGGGGTGTAAGAAAATATCGATACACTGAAATATCGCGATATTTCGTTTCTCGATACTGTATCGATATTCTAAAGCCCTGTATCGATTTTTTATTAAGGTTTAAAATGTCAACTTTCCTGCCAGCCGTTCATTTTTATGTTGTAGTTCAGCCTCTGACCACTAGTTGGCAGCAGTGAGCCAGMCATTTGGCTCCTCTACCTCTTGAGCGCCAGAGTGTAAGAGAGCATTAGCATTGTAAGTAAACATTAGCTTCATGCTCCGATAGCTGAATCTGAGCGGAAAAGACCGACACCCTCTGCCTTCTAATCTGAGGTAAGGTTACAAACAGTTACTTATTTATCAGAATGTCTGTATTTTAAACCAAATTAAGTGTCTTGTGCGCTCTTTTTTCCAACGTTACAGAAGGCAGGTATTTAATAGAATTTATGGACAAAAAAATCAAAATATATCGCCTTGCTTACAGTATCGCAATATATCAGGATATATCGGGATATATCGTATCGTGACCCCTCTGTCATGATATGTATCGTATCGCCAAATTCTTGCCAATACACAGCCCTACCATTTACCCCAAGAGCACAGCAACAACTCATCCAAGAGGACACAAAGACCCCACAACATCCAAAAAACTGCAGGCCTCACTGGGCCTCAGTTAAGGTCAGTGTTCATGCCACTACCATTATGGATTGCAAGGCAGAGTTCCAAGTCAAAAACCACTACTGAGCAAAAAGCATAAAGACTCTCCTCAGTTTTGCCAGAAATCATGTTTATGAACCCCAAGACCTTTGAGAGGATACTCTGTGGACTGACGAGACAAAATTAGAACTTTTGAAAGGTGTGAGTCACATTACATCATGGCATAGAAGTAATGCAGCATTTCAGAAAAGGAACAACAGCAAAACATGGTGGTGGTAGTGTGATGGTCTGGGGCTGGAAGACCTGCTGAGGTGAATGGAACCATCAATTCATAGGATTACCTCCTGGCCTTTTTCATACATAGATGGATTTTCTCTGCGAACATCAATTTATTCTCACTGACCAAAAACATACATGTTGGGTTATTTGGTCATTTTAAATTGTCCCTAGGTATGAGAGAACATGAGTGATTGTTTGCCTCTATGTGGCCCTGTGATTCAGCCTGTCCAGATTGTGCCCTGCCCCTCACACAATCACTGGTGGAGATAGGCACCAGCTCCTGCACAGCAACCCTGCATGAAAGAATTTATTTATTTGCCGTTATTTTACCAGGCAAGTCCCGATGAGATCTCAGATCTCTTTTTCAAGGGCGGCCTGGGCCTGAAGGCAACCTATTGTACATGTTTTCTGGGGTGGGGGAAACCGGAGTACCTGGAGAAAACCCACGCAAGCATGATGAGAGCATGCAAACTCCACACAGAAAGACTCCAGGTCTGAACTGGGGATCGAGCCCAGGACCTTCTTGCCGTGGGGCGTTGGTGCTAACCACTGAGCCATCGTGCTGCCAAAGAAAATGATAGATGTGATACATTGTGTTAACCCAGCAACAGGTGCTCAGCACAATAACATTAAATGCAATATTGTTTGCTCAGATTAATGTGTGCATGCACGCTTCCCTTCACGCTCCACTGTTTGATTCAGCTCAATTTCTCCTCTCTTTTTGAACTGGAAATAGGCAGGTGGCACAAACAAAATATAAAAGCGTTTGACCAGTTTTTGATTTTTTTTTCATGACAGTTGAAGCTGTTTTCCTGACCAAAATGCCCCTGCTGTGTGGTTGCAGACGATATCTTATTTTTCACCCCCTTCCCTCTTCTCCTTCCTCCCAAACACCTCAGCAGCAACAGAGGCTCTGCACAACACAGAGGAGCTCCTGCCCTTCAAACTGACTTCACTCCCAAACTGACGGGACACACAAAAAATAAAAATAAAATAAAAACTCAGGATGCAAACGACAACTGTGGGATTTTGTTTAAGTGCTTGCGCCGTCCCGCCGTCAGATGTTGCCCTGGGCAGTGAGCCATATTGATCATATCAAAAACTGGTACTGCTCAGCACATCCTGTACTTTTTCATTTAGTAACACAGATGTTGTTTGGTGAAGAAAACAGCAGCGAACTTAAAAAATGCTAATGTATCATTTTTTGTTTAGCGGGTTCTTGTTTGGCCGGGCTTTAGCCTAGCCTGGACAAAGACTTCTGGCCTTTTCTTCACACTCTGTGTTCTGTCGCTGAAGTCACCACACATAGAATATTAGGGGTGTAAGA